TCACTGGGCCCAGACTCAGACATGCCTTATTAGGATCCGAAGCCCTTCTGTGTTGTTCCTTGTAGAGGATGCCGAGAATTTTATATTGTTTGCCCTATCTTCTTTTTTTACTGTATTTCTTCAACCTGATGTAAAGAAATCTACCCGAATCACCTGACATAGCCAGCAGGGGCGGCTGAGGGATCTGACGCCGAGAGAGGCCCGGAAGGAAAAAACAAGAAACTGGGCCTTCTCGGCGGTGGCCCCTCAGCTGTGGAACACACTCCCTACTGAAATTCGGCTGGCACCCTCGCTGGGAGTTTTCAAAAGCCAATTAAAAACTTGGTTATTTAAATAGGCCTCCTCCCCCCCGTCAATTAAGTGATTCTCTCTTTCTTTTTCTTTCTCTTCTTTTGAGTATTGCCATCTTGGAAATTTGCTGCTTAGAATTAATTGTATAATTGCATTTTATACGTTGTTTTAATGTGTTATAACTTATGCAAGCCGCCCCCTAGTAGACGTTGTCTAGAAGGGTGGGGTAAAAATCAAATAAATAAATAAATAAATAAATAAATAAATAGATAGATAGACAGACAGACAGACAGACAGACAGACAGACAGACAGACAGACAGACAGACAGACAGACAGACAGACAGACAGACAGACAGACAGACAGACAGACAGACAGACAGACAGACAGACAGACAGACAGACAGACAGACAGACAGACAGACAGACAGACAGACAGACAGACAAGAGGTCCATCTTGGCTGGACGAGAAAAATAATTTTTGGTTGTTGTTTTTAAAATGAAGTGTCTAGTGTGTCTCCATTCCCCCTTTAAAGGAGTGCAGTCCTCCATCTGAAGGACTGCCAGTCTTACTTTTGAAAGTCCATTTGAAAAGCTATCCAGTCAAAGTAGGATTTAAAAATTGAAAATAAAAATAAAAACATAAGGAGGGAGATCAGGGACTTTGAATTTGCCCATCCATAATAATTGTTTGGACATCAGATTCAGCAGACACAAAGGTCATCAGGCCATAGTCTTTTCCACTCAAGTTGGATTCATTACAGTCTTGTTTAAATTATTTAAAATCATTTCTATATTTATATCTATATTTATCTGCCGTCTTTTATCCTCCTTTTTTTCATGATACATGTCATACTATGCCGACCAGTATGTGGCCACTCTACTGAAGAAAACTGACCTGAGCTTGTGCTGGCACTGGTGTTCCATTTTAATTTGAGCTGAAATGTGGCTTTAGCAGAGAACCCATTCAGTGTGAGGAATTGAAATTATCTGTAGAACTGGCTACATTGAACCCCCTTTCCCATTTTCCCAGTAAAGCCAATATTGCTGGAGATTGGCTGGTCTCCTAGAAACCCTAGAATCCTGTTCCAAATGGCTTTTAACTGAAGTAGATTGGCTGGTCTCCTAGAATCCCTAAAAGAAAAGAACCAAATGTTCCTCTCAGATTGACAGGAACTTCAGGGACAAAAAGTGTGATTCTTTGCCTGCAAGAATCTTGCAGTTATGAAAAACAGCTAAGATGTGGTGAATGAATGTGTGAAACCCATTAAATACTTCACATTTGTAAATTTTGGTATTGAAAATAGCTTATAATAGACCGCATGGGCTCATATTGTGTGGAATGTAAGTTGTCAGGAACCATTTGTCGCCAGAACTAGTGAAGAAGAAAATCATTCTAGTCATTAGTCAGAACCTGTTGGAGGGTTTTAGGTGGTGATAATTGGGTCAAACGATTTAGCCATGAACTCTTTGGATGGCCTGGAGTGAGTCATTTGCTCTTAGCCTCAATTCTTTATATCTCTTAACATTAACATGTGTCTCACCTTTCTTGTAAGAGATGAACAAGATCAGTACTGTACAGCGCTTTGCACTCTAGACGTCTAAATGATTAAGTAGTTTGTATAAATAGTAACACACTAAATAAAACATTTGTTCTTAATAAATGTGATAAGTTTAGATTTTTCTTTGTTTTACTGCTATAGTGTAAATTAGAAAATCAAATAAACTATCTTTGTATTCTTGGAAATGCTAGGAACGATGAATTTGCTAAAGCAGTAGTAAGTTTTACATCCTTTCCATTCAAAGCGAATTACACTCAGATACTGCCTTCGTTTTTGCATTCTGATTCCTTTCATTTGAGCATCAAGAGATTTCTCAGGATTAGAGCTTACTGTATCGCCCTCCCACAGTCCTGGCACCCCACTGCCATTGGTTAGGTTAAATACCACAGGCTCTCCATTCAGAGGAATTCTGTTCCACTTAAGAAAGCAGGAGCCAAAGGTAAGTTTTCTGTTTCTTTCTTCATTGATCGCTAAACTAGTTTAAAACCACACACACACACACACACACGCACATACACACACACACATCATATTTAAGGATATTTATTTTATTATTTTCATAAGAATTGTGATTTTTAAAATGAGCCTTTTTTAAATTTCTCTTTTAAACTTGATTATTAGTACCTTTCTGTGGGAAGTACATAATTTCCATCAAAATATTTAACATTAGAAATGCCAGTATAACTACAAAATGTTCCAATATTTTGCTTATAAAAGGGTAGGGACACACAGATTTCACAAGCAGGTGTGTCTCTATCCTTTCCTTGCCTGGACTCTAAGGACAGAGTCCAGGTAAATTTGCAGGTGGTTGTGGGGGGGGGCTGATGTTCATTGAGGCATATAATAATATTTATGCAGACACATGTACAAAGTCTTCACCAGTTACTGAAATGTCAGCTTATTTGCAGAATCAGATTATAATAATCTGAAAATTAGTGGTGGTATTTCATAGTGTTCTCTTTTCCCATATGCATCTTAATATTTCTATGTAAAAAAAGCAGCAGGAGAAGACAAAAGATTTGGAAGTGATGTGGAGTCAGATTTCATTGCAATGATGTAGTAATGGCTATACTGTAGTTTCTCAGCCTCAACTTCTGTTCATTTAGATAACCAAGGATTTATTTCAGGAAGTCTTTGAGAGAATGGCAAGAAGGTGGATTGCTTACATGCTTTTAAAACTAAGCATTTTACATAATAGGAGCAGAAGTAATAATATTAGCTACATTGTGAAGTTGTAAAAATCAACAAACAGGTGTGAATACTACGTAAACAGGGGGAAATATTCCTGAAATTAGGAGTCATGTTTATCAAACTTCTGAGAAGTCTGTATGCTCCACCTTATCAATATGATACAATACATCAGTAATCTTTTAGGCAAACCCTGTATTTTGAAAATAAATAAGTACAAGAAAGTGCAATACAATTAACCCTTGGTGGTTAAAAGCTGAGACTCAGTTGCCTGTAAGCTCTGTCTACTAAAAAATGAATAAATCTGAAAACACATAAGAGAAAAATGAGTGCCTTGTGCTGTTCACCATTCCCATTGGAATTTCATGCCTTCATGTGTAAACCTGCTTCACAAAGGCCTTCTTTCAAGAGACTTAATATCAGTTTGTTTGAGTCCAGGTTACCACGAATGAGAAAGTGTCTCATGAATTTCTAATGTCATAGACTGTGTACTGTTTTTTAAGCATTGCATATGAATGAACACTCCTGCCTTAGATTAAGTTTGTATTTGTATTTACATGCTTTTCCTATATTATTGCCTCCTCTATTCAATCTAGGCTGCGTAAAAGTGGATTTTCTTTGAGAACACCGAAATTTAAATTTATCCTTACAACCTAGCATTAAAATAAGGAAAGAATACTACTAATTTTCAGACCACAATTATTATCTAGGCTTATGTTCCCTTCAGACTAATTGTATAAAGGAGTTACACTGAACAAAACCTGGTGATTACAGTGAGCCTTCAGGGTGACAATTCTGGCTGGACTGTGGCTAGTGTTTTTCATGCAATTAAAAAAAACAGTGTTCTAAATCTTAGGTTTCAAGAGAAGGAGGTGAAAATTATAGACAAAACCTAGCCTAATTTAACATGGATACCCTGTGTAGTATAGTGCTATAGAGTAACAGACTTAAGCACGAATCCAAAAAAAAATACGTTTGCTCTCCCAGTTTATTACACCAGTGGGAACAAGCCCTAAGGCTCAGGAGACCTGGATTCAAATTTCTGCTCAACCATGGAAATTTAGTGGTGTGGCACAACTGGCAAAAGCACTGCTTCAATGTCTCACTTACCCTGAAAGCCCTTTTAGAATTGCTATAACTCCAACACAACTTAACATATGAAGGACAGGGACAGATGTTGTGTGAGCTCAAAAGAATTCCCTTCATGGAATAAGCCATCTCCATCCAAGTCACATCATGCACATAGAGCCCAGGTCCAAACTACGACACAGGTTTTTCTGGGTTCAGCCATTTTTTGATTCTGTCATGTCCCAGAACTGAACTGTTATGCGGATGCATCTGGTAGGGCTTTCCTCTGTCAAGTCCAAACTATGACACAGGTTTTTCTGGATTCAGCCATTTTTTGATTTTGTCATGTCCCAGAACTGAACTGTTATCCGGATGCATCTGGTAGAGCTTTGATCTGTCAAGAGAGTATTTGATAATGTGCTTCTCTTACAGAAGAAGACAAACCATTTAAAACAGTCAAGAGTTAGAAAAAGGTGATAAAGCATAGTCATCCTGTAGCTTCTTTTCCATCAACAATGTGATGTCCTGGTGGGAAGAGCTGCAACAATGGAGTGCTCCCTTCCAGCTACAGCTGCAACAGAAATGAAAAATAGCTGTATGCCAGCACTTCCCACTACTCATGCAGGTATAACACTAAAGGAAATATTTAGAATAGAAGTCACATAATTGGAAATGAGCTATGACAAAATTAAGGGGAAATAATCGCCTCTACAGTAAAGCTCTTCTAGTTTTCATCTCAGTTTATGTGACCCAGAATTATGAACATAAAATATTTTAATTGCTTAGTTTATTAGAATCAAGCTAAAGGAAAAGATCAGTCTACATCCCAATCCCAAAGAAGGGCAGTGACAAAGAATGCT